CCGGTTTCTCAGTAATGGTGATTTATAAAGTAGGGATGTAACTTTATAAAATTTATAAAGCAGAGTTACAGCAAACCCCTATCGCCCACCATGAAAGCTGGAACGCCCACTAGTGGGCGGTAGGGACCAGGTTGACTACCACTGAGCTAGACAAACCACATACTGGTTTAGTGTAATGTGAGAATTTAGCCAATTAAATGTTGTTAAGAATTCTACTATTGTTTAATAAAGCTGTGTAGAGATTCAGTAGTGGATGCACATATTTGGTTGATTGATGGGCGAATTGACAGCATAGTAATTCATCGATTATGTAAATAATTCAATGGAATAAAAGTTTATTCCAAAATCTTTATAGCATATGTTAAGCAATCAGCACCCCTGCTATGTTGGGGAGATGGGATGCTTTTCCATGTTGATGTTCTCTAGAATAATGTTTGTTTGTTTGTTTGTTTGTTTTCAGAGAAAGGAGGGGGTGGCACTTGCAGGTTCTGTGCCTCTCACCCAGGACGGTCTGCCTGCTCTCTGTGCAGGGCAGCCCCGCAGACCCACAATTGTTGCAGGTGGGCCACTGGGTTCTCTCCCAGGGAGGGCAAGGGCAGCATTTGGTGCACAGAAGCCTGCAGGGCTTGGTCCAAAAAGCCATTCCCTCTGCCAATGCAATTGGCACATAATAAGCAAGGGGGGAGACTGATCACCCCAATGCAGCTGCCACCTTGACTTTCTTGATCATAGCTTATGGAGAGGCCTAGAAACCAGGGTTAAACAACTATAAAAATGAATGGTTATCTCCAGATACTTCAGATTTGCTTACCAAAATGAAGGCTCTTCCATGGCGATGTTTTCAACCCACTCAAATCCCCCAACCCCACAATTTGGTCTCGGAGGACTGCAGTGGGTGTCATAAACCAGTGACACCCTCAGAAATTCCACTGGCCAAAGTTCAGCCTCTGCCTTTCTTCTTGTTTTATTTTGCCCTGAGGGTTGGTGGTGGTTGGAAGGGAAGTTAAGGATGCATGTAAAGAGTCATGTGCTAGTATTAATGGCAGAGACTGTTCTGAAAAAGGCTGTCTTGGTGCTGAATTTGGGCTCCTCGGTGCCTCAGACCAGAAATAGGTGTGGGGCTCAAGGCGCCATTCTCTTGGGTTCCCACCAGCTGGGCCTTCTTTGGCTCCCAGGGGAGGCCGCCTTCCCCTCTTGGCCAGGGAAGGGCCCCACTGAGGGTGGAGTGCCACCCCTCCTCACTGGGCGGTTGTGTGTTTCTTCTTGCAGTTCCCAGCCCCACAACCTCGTCCTGAAGCACCTGGCTCCCTAGTGCCGCCATGTCCAGGCCAACCCGCGCTGTCGAGCTGGTTCGCCTGGTGCCCAAGAAGCCACGCCGTCATCTGCATGCCTCCCTTTCCTGCTCAGCCGTCGTGGAAGAGTTGCCCAATGTCCCCAGCTACCACAGCTCTGCTCCTCCCTCCCACATCCCTGTCCTCGTCCCTAGGAAAGCGAAGGCTGGCCTGAGCAACCCCGGTTTTCGGAAGGAAGAAGCTTCCTGCTTGGCCGTTGGGGGTAACGTAGCACCTGCCAAGGTTTTAGTGCTTGCGGCTTTCCTGGCTGACCTTCCTGCACTTTGGGGTGTCTGCATCTTTAGGGTTCAGTTCCAAATAGGGTGTTATTTCCAGAGGGAGCACCGTACGTTGCCTCCAAAATGTAGAAGAAATGTGCATGATTTTGGGGGGCAGGCATTCATTAAAAGCAGGACAGGAATGAATCCATCCCTCGGGTCTCCTGAAAATTGAGAATGGGCAATGGGCCTTGTCAGCCAGAAGGTTTGCAGCTTTGAGACAGAAGTTAAGGAAAGGCTGGTGAGAAAGCTGTTTACAGTAATGTCAAGAATAAATAAAATAAACCAACGGAAACATTGCATAAATTTCAGAAAGGCACTCCAACCCTAGATTAAATCTATGTGAAGATTCAGATGTTATTTACTTTTTAGTTTACTTTATAGCACCTTGTACAATGAAATTAAATGACACCTTCAGTGTACATAACTATAAAAATAAAACACAAACACACCCTTCACATTTTGTACAATTGAATTGAAACCCCCTGATATTGCATTAATATTATTTATATTAATAATTTGCATTTAATAGTCACTTTAGCATTCTCTGGAAATAAAACATTTTCAGGCCACCATGGGGGTTTGCAAAGTGTGGTCAAAAGTTCTAAAAATTGTGGCCGAGACAACTAAGAAAGAACTTCAATAAGAATTTGTGATACTAGGATGACAAAAGCAACAACAATAATACCGTATTTTCACGACCATAAGCCGCACCGGATTGTAAGCCGCAGTATCAGTTAATGTTAATTTTTTAAACTTTTTTCACATATAAAGCGCACTGGCTTATAAGCCGCGCTCAGAGACCCGGCTCCCCTTGGTTCCTCATCGAGAGCGCGGC